TGACGAATGGGACACCCTACGGTCTCAAGGACTTAATGGACATGCGCACGCGGCAGCCAATGTAAGTCTGCAAGAGCGCAAGTCCACATGAAGTGTGCCATTTGGGACAGGGCCTTGGTGGGATATTTTAGGGGACGCTTTCTTACATCGTTACGCCAGTAGGTGGCGACAATGGCCATCCTTTTAAATGAGGCAGGTATTTAATAATTCACTGAACCAATTGGTTCACAAACACAAATCCATTCAAAAACAAAATGCCATTGCAAGTTCTTCGGAGACATGAATGATTGATTCTGCTTCATTTGAATATATTTTAATTGGTGGAGCAAAAACAGACAAAATGACTGCAATAAATGTAAGTTACTTAATATTCAAGTTTTGAATGGTTTAAGCAATATGAAATTCGTAATCTGTTTTTGTGAACACTTGCAACAGAATCATAGTCATAGACATGCTGGTATTCAGAACAGCAAGACTGTGTGTAACAGACTGGTTACCTTGAATGCTTCTCTTGAAGAAAGCTTTACATCCCTCACAGGACCAGACTCCATAATGATAGCCAGAGGCATAGTCACTGCACACCACACAGAAGCGCGTCTCCTTCTCTGAATCAAAACCTCCTGTGCCTCTTGATCCGGAGTACAACTCCTGCCTGTCAGTGGCACTGCACAGCTCCTCACACAAACCAACACCTGCCTGCTGAGAAGATATCACACTAGACCTACAGACAGAAAGAGGATAGAAGTCAATATAGAGCGCAGTGGATGATGATAGCAACCAGGCTAAGCACCAGGCAGCTCACCACTGCAGAGAAACTGACTTTTGTGTTGTACTGATTCACTAGTAGTGACGCTTCATGTTACAAATAATTAAAGTTGCACCAGTATTAAATCTGGCCAATATCGATAAGTGGATAATTATTTCCATCTTAGCTAGATTTTAAAATCAATTCTATTTTATCTAAGTACATCTAAAAATAAACAATAAAAGCTAAAATCAGTAGGTTTAAAGGTGACAAGTAAACTTAGGCCTCACAACATTATTTATTAAATAGAGGAAAAAAGAGGAAATGCACAATTAAATATCCAACCAATATTGGAAAAAAAATCACCAATATGGTACCATAACATTGTGCATCCCTATAAATAAATAAATAATAAATATAAATTATACAAAAGACTGTGTATATAAAATATCTTGAAATACAAATTTGTAATATCCAAGGAGAATATGTACGTGACTGCAAATGGGACAAGTGTGACCATCCCCATTCCCTTCTGACCTCTTGTTCCAGTGTTAGTAAATATTTAATTTATCTTTAATTCTGATGTCCAACAGATTTATTGCGTAACCTCAATAATGGACTGCAGTGCTGTGCAATGTCATCACATGACAACTGGGATCCCCAAGCAGCCTAAAGTGAAGTTAATATTCTCATCATGTCAGAAGTAAACAACAAATTTAAACAATAGGCTTTACTAATAATAGTCTATTCAACATATGCCGTAATTTTTATTAATCTATTAACTGTCCCTAGATCTTCTCTCAGTTCTTCTGAAAGTGAAAAATGTTCTTCCTGTGTGTTCAGACAGTACCACTGTTGTTTTTACTAACTGTACTTTCCTCAAGGTCTAGAGACAGAATTTGATCAGAGGCTCTTCAAATGTACATTTCTTTCTGTGACGGGTGTAATTCAGTGCCCACGTCGTAATGTGGTGTTTACAATCCGAACCTTCTTCTTTCCAAGAAGTTAAGAAATACTAATAATTAACAGCACAAACCTAGAACATAAAATAACAACAAATAAAATAAACTCTTAATTAGTCAGAGAGCACTCGATATGACCTGCAGGGAAGAAATGTGTGAACCACCATAATATGAAGTAATACATATTCTCCAGTTCTAAAAGAAAACAAATGCCAAAGACCATCTAGCATTAAATGCTGGTGATACACAACCCACAAACCTATAGCCACAACCTATTAGGCACATAAAAAAGATGTTTACTCAATGTAGTATTCTATGTGTATGAAATACATGAAACACATTATTTTTACCATACATTTTACCTTTGAAATATTGTCAAACTCCATAATGGCTACAAAAAAAAAAGATTAAATGTTCAAATGCTGGCTAATAATGGTACTCGATTTATTACAAATGTCATGGTTTGTAAGCAAATTAAACATGTTCAGAAAATGTGTATAATGTGGCAGAAATGTTTCACCAGGCTTTGTGTATGTAAGGTGTTGTTTATAAAAATTAACCTCTGTGAGCAGGTATCCAAGCAGGATTTGAGTGCTAAACCAAACATTATGCCTCAATGAATCATAAATCAGGTTTAAATGACCTCCTCATCTGATTAACTGGACACCTGGCGATATTTTCATGTCTGTTTTATAATCTTAAACATCTTATATACTTTATTTTCCTATTTACTATTTTAGTTTAACCTGGATTTCACCATGAAAATGGAGACTTGATGTTTAAGATACACACAAAAATCTCAAAATGTTCATTTTCAATGTTTATAGAAGTTCTTAAATCCAATATATCTCTTAAAGTTGTGTATAAATTCAAAATTGTAACTATTATTTTCTTTCAGAACTTTGAATTCTTCACCTACAAAACCATCCAAAACATGAACAGTATCAGAGCTCGTATTTAAAGCTGAACTGACCTGTAGACGGTGTTAGAAGGGGTGTCCAGGTAGTAGGACACCTGGTGGGTCGAGTGGTGTCCACCACGATGGCTCAGGTATGGGGACAACTGAGGGCTGGAGGGTGCAAAGATGAGAGGGCTGCTGGATCCAGTGCCTAACGACTGCAGATGTTCTTCAACAGGGGGCGCGTGGGGGTCTGGGGGAGCTGGGTAGTATCCGACCGAGGCAGGAGCGGCGGGGGACGACGTGCCGTAGGTCTGTGTGGGGTTTGGGAACTCATAGGATCCATCAAGATAGTTGACAGAGGAGCTGATGCCCCCCACGCTGTGCTCCTCCTTAGGGTACATGGGCGAGAGTGTGTGGGCAGCTGGTGGTGAGGAAGGTCCCTCCAGGTCTTCTCTCTCTGGGCTCGGGCTGGTCCTGAGTTGCTGCCTGGCACCAGCAGCCTCTCCGCTGGTCTGCCCTCCAGACATCACCATGGAAACACACACACAGAGAGCATGACTTAAGGGACTATCTGTTCATAAGCAACCATCAAAAGACCGTTTCTGTCTTTGTTCATAAGCAACCATCAAAAGACCGTTTCTGTCTTTTTTTTTAAAGCTCAGTTTTTTTTTTTACCTCCCACTCTTTCTCAAACTCTCTCCCCCTTGTTCTGCTTTGCGTCCGCCCTGCTGTTCTGCCTACTCCTCCTAGAAAAAACCTTCCTCTCTCTTCCAGTCCGCCTTGGGCTTAAAGGACAAAGTGTGATGTTTTGCTAAGATATGTGAGTCTGCTTTCATTTTTCCTTCTCTTTCTTTCTTAAAATACTCTTTGCTTCTTTTTCTTTTCCATTTTCTATCTCTGTATTTCTTCAGTATGTAAAACTGCTATTCTAACAAAAATGCCTTTTTGTAGTCTTAAATATTACACTTTAGAAAGGATAAAATACAATGAGCAGCTGTACAAGTGAAAGATGTATAGTCAAGTCTGATGTGAGGTGCTTTTCTATTAAACAGGAAACGGAGAGGACAGGAAACTCAACTGAAACTACTAATAATAGAAAGAACTGCCTGATTATAAACCACTAGAGACACAAGGAATATTATTTCTTGTGGAAACTCAAAAGAAAACAATCAGTTGTTGAATCCTTTATATAGTCCTCTGATTTATAAGTTTAGCCCCATCACAAGTAGCATCCCCTCGCTGATGTATCTCTGACTTCCTGTGTCCTTTTTACTTTCGCTGTCTGTGGCTCTGACTAAAAAAAAAAAAAGGAGGTAAACAAATTAAAGACAGCCAGGTCGATAATGGCGGTCACTCTTCAGAGCAGGTCATGGCAACCAGGTAAACAAGAGATAGGAGGTCACCGACTGATTTACTTGCTAAAACCTTTGGATTTTACAGGTGATGTGTTTTAAAACCACTTTACATGCTGCCGCCATCTGAAATGACACTTCAAAGAATTTATTACATTTGTTAAAAGATTTTTGCAAAAGGTTAAATAAGGGAATAAAATATTGTTTAGCTCAGAAGGGAAAAACAAGCCTGTTTGATTATAATCATTTCTCTCTACTGGCAACTATTTAAAGCTGAAATGGAAAGTGTGCTCTTAATGAAATGCTGTGTTGGAAGTCTGGCTAATTGAGTTTTTGATTTCTCTTTAAAAAGGAACATTATTAGTATTTTTACTTACTGGTAATACTTTCTGTGTGCTGAAATAAACACTACTGTTCAAAGGTTTGGGGTCAGAAGTTAATACTTTTACTCAGAAAGGGTGCATTAAATTGATCAAAAGTGACAGTAATTAACTTTATAATATTACAAAGATTTCTATTTCAAATACATTTTGTTCATTTGAACTTTCTATTCATCAAAGAATCCTGGGGGGAAAAGTAGCACGTTTTCCACACAATTATTAAGCAGCACAATTGTATTCAACATGATGTTAAGATGTTTTTTGAGCACCAAATCAGCATATTAGAATAATTTGTGAAGGATCATGCCTGCTGAAAATTCAGATTTGCCAGCACAGGAATAAATTAAGTTTAAAACATTTTAAAATAGAAAACAAATATTTTAAATTGCAGTAATATCTCACAATATTACACTCTTACTGTAGTCTAATTTTGATCCAATAAATGCAGCCTTGGTGGGAAAAATCTTACGAATTTAGGACAATCCCAAGAAGTGAATATATTTTTGTCTTTTTTATAATAATTTGTTGTAATTAAAATACGCAGCATTGTCCTCGAAAACAATGGCTGCTAATTCATTAAATTAAAACATGCTGATTATTAGCTATGTTCTTTTACAAAATAGAGCTGAAAATAAAACAAACTGTATTGATAACCTTTTATTTGAGACCAGCTGAAATCTTTAAGTCTGCTTTTGAGCTTAGCTCTTGTCGTAAGGGAACTAGAACAGTTCAAAGACCAAAACCATGGCCTTGGTTTTTTTTAGGATAAACAGCATGTACGCGCTGACCCCTAAACACAAAAGATAGCGTTCACGTGATTCTTACGTAACATCAAATCTTTGTTGTTTTTTTGACTCTTTTCTTTGCTCTGTAGAATGGAGGCAAGGCTCCTTGGAAGACCCAGGAAGCACCCACACACACACTAAAAGAAAAAAAAAAAAAAACTGTAAAAGTAAACAAATTGTGCTCTCAAAGGATAGGTCAGAGAAGAGAAATGAATAGGTGAACAGAAATTAATTGAATCTCTAAAACGAATTGTTAAACAGTTAGATTATGAGAGTTTAATTTAAAAAAAGAAAAAAAATATTTTGCATTTGAATGCAGTTGCATTCAATTTTCAAAAGAGTTTGCATTTTAACAAGTGTGAGTACATTTGCATGGTATCCTTACTAGCATCTGTTTCCAGAATGCTCATAAATCAGCTTAAAAAGAAATCATCATGGTGCAATCTTCATCACAACAGACACTGGAAAACCTGGTAAACTTGCTTTGAAATTGCTAGTCAATCCAGTGTAAACAATGAACCCTAACCCTAACTCTCTGAGGTGGTATATATATGGCCAGTATTTTTTATCAGCCAGAAAGCAGAATGTATTTCCTTTCTCAAGACAGAAAATCATTGTGAATTTGTGTTTTGTTTAATGATTAGTACATTTGAAAATTCCCGAATTGCATATCTCGCTATTCTCTATTGCTATTTGGTCAATAGCAGAAGTTAAAATTCAGGTTCATACCAAACAACACACATATGGATTCTTATGAATTGTGTTTTTTTTTGGCATGTTTACATCTGTATTTTTAAGCAACCATACTTGTACACAATACAGATCAACAGTACAAACAAAAAAATCATAGATTGTGTAAACTATGATCAAAAGATTGTCAGGTTTCAAAATGCCATTATTCTATTAACAAGGACATTAATTAGGTTAAGATTTATTTCAGTGTTTGATATGCAGAATCGGTAGGACAACTGTTGCATACAAATACAAGCAAAGATAAAACAACAACACATTTGTTTGGCATGTTGGTAACTGAACCAGCATCCTTTGTGCATTTTAGTCCTTCATCTCTTGCTTCCTGGTAATTTCTCTCTTTTCTTTAAAAACGACCCTACTGTTCTCTGTGTGGACTGCAAAACTGAACCACAGCATATTTGCCATTAGTCATCCAGTCTGGATCCTGAGAGCTGAGCTTCTCAGCCTGGCCTAGCTGTAAGCCCACCTGAACATCAGCCTTCAGTGTCCTGAGACTGCAGAGAGGGGCAGGTTGGAACCCCCTCAACGCTTGATCAAACCGAACCGTGTGCTCCCATTTCCTATCTCCAGTAAGCTTCCTGTAGTTAAGGTCTCCTTTGAAGATAATCAGATCAGAGCCCTGGAGCGTGCTGTAGAGATCAGCTGCACCCACCGCCATGTCACAGAACTCATGGGGCAAGGTCCAAAAAGAGTGGTCATGGTAGGACCACGTACCCTCCTTCATGAAATGCTTCCATTGGACGCCGCTGGCTGACATCCACTTGTGATTAGATGCCACGGTCTGCATGATGGTCCACTCAAAGTCTTGTTTGGTGACGTCTGAGACGAACCACGGGATGGACTTGCCATGAAATCGGATTTGCTTGGCTAGTCCGGCAGAAACAAGAAAGCTAGCAAGGACTAGATCGGTAACAAGCTCAAAACCAGCGTTGTCTAAAACAATGTCCACTCTGGCATTCTTTATCCCTGAGGATCTGGATCCTTGAGCAGCAACCAGCATTGACCAAACCATATTGGAGTCATCCACTAGGATGCAGCTCTGGAGATCAGGAAGAGAATCGATGGGACTGGACTTTTGTGAGTTGTCCCGACCGGCAGAGATGGACAGATCACACTTGTTTCCCCACAGAGAGACCTTCAAAATACACAGTAAACCAGATTATGTGACATTATTGTATTACCAACAGCGTAATATCAAATAAGTACAAAAGTGCGTGCTGAAAACAATAGCCACCCCTAGGCATGTTACTTAGCACCACAAACTGGATGTAATTTGGGTAACAAGATTCTCTGTTCTAAATTAAAGATGTGACTCTTTAAGCTTATGGTTATGGCTCACTGAACTCAATTAGAGTCTTCCATCTTCACGCAAACAAGAACAGATGATTTTCCTAGTTTTTGGTATTGTGTTCTGATGACATAATGTCCCATAAACAATAGTTTTTAATGGCAAAGATCATTATATGTTGCAGCTAAAATCATGGAGACACTGACCTGAAGTAACTTGAGAAAGTTGTCTCGCAGCTGAATCTCAGTCATATTCTCCATGTTGGTGATGAGCTCCTGAAGGTATGTACAGAGGGATTTAATCGCCTGTTGAGATTCAAAGAAGCTTTGCGTCTTTCCCTCCTTAAACTCGTCAAACTTATCTATTGGTGGACTGTGGAATCATAATGAAACAAGTCAGTTAAACAATTCAAAATGTACCAATGCAACATGGAGAGTACAATTAATCTTGGTTAATTATTAATGTTATTATTAATCACAAAAATACTTTTAATAAGATTGCACTTTAAATGACTATCAGTGCCTTTAATTTACAATGGATCTAAAAATGATGCAAACTATTTCACTTATTACTACACTATTGCATTTCTAAGGCAAGTCATTCCTTTAAATTCATTTAGACCTGTTCATATTTCAGAGGTCTTCCTTATATAAATCTGTCCTTTTATTTAAAAA